TCCAAATATAGCGATATTTGTGGACCACATCTTATTTTTGTTGCTTGAGAATGCGTTTAGCGAAAGATATATATTTTCAAAATAGACAATATTTACTCCCCCGCAAAAGCAAAGAATGTATTAGAATCGCACAGATTTTCGTATTTGATTTTTTTAACATCTTAAGGAGTCACAGAAAATCATGTAGGTCCCGTAATACTGCCCCCTAAACCCATGATTCAAGTACAGTTTATATCCAAATATTTTATAATAGACAACAACGTTAAGCTACTAAACTTGAAAATGATAATGTGTATTCTGCATCAAGTTGCTCGTGAAGCCAACAGGTTCATTTTAGTTGAGATATCAGTCAAAATTATTCTCAATACTCTATCACCACATTGATCGCAGTGAGAGCCGACAAGTAAAAAAAATAATCTTTAAAGCCGAATGGCAACAATTCTTATTTTCCTGGATAATGATAACCCGATAAAGTTGCTTCTTTTTATATTTTTCCTTTCGAATACTAAGTACCTTTAAATGAATCACCCGTTATAACGTCTTTCTCTGTTATCATACTTTCCGATTATGCAAATAAATGCACAGATAAAATTCTTAAAATCAATCGACTGCTTCCCACGTCTGGAATTTATTACATCTGATGAATTTCGTAACAGCAACACATTGTCAAATTCCTTAAAAATCCTTTTAAGCCACTTAGCAGTTTGTGGAGTGATAGTTCTATATAAATTTCGTAATGCACCCGGCAATTTGTAGAACCACATTCCTCGTTAAAAATATACCTTCAAGGTAATAACAAATTCTAGCAGCTTTTCTTCTAAATACTTTTTTAAGACCATCTCCCTACAGCTTACACAATAAAGAGGTGCTTTCGTATATTATGATATTATTTTCCTTGGTGGCGCTTAAAAGAAAGATAGGAGCTCATTCTCAACGGCGGCGGTAATCATAATAAAAGAAAAAATAATGAAAGTAATGTTAGCAGTGAAAATCAAATAAAATTTCATAAGCGACTATTTGCTCGCTGGGTGTGGCAAGAGGGAAGGGGGTTAGGTTATAATTAAATTTTAACCGCGGCACGGACTTGCGGGAATTTCAGAAATATCTAATAAGGAAATCAATAGACGTCAGAAAATGCAGAGGTAATGATGACCGACGAAGCCGATGGAAAATTTTCGATTATATCTATTTATGGATGTTTAGAGCAAACACGTTTAAAATTAAGAGCAAGAAGCTTAAGCTAAGCATCGATAATCTTTTATCTCAAATAGTCCGGGCAACTTTTTAATCTCACCTATTAAATCCAAAAGTTGCGAGAAGTTGGACTATTCCTATCAATTGTCATATGCGCCCACAGGAATTTTTCCCCGAAGGGACAGTATAAACATAGGAGTGTGCTCCCGAATTTCTTTGAAAAACATGAAACAGCTCCGACAGCTGATATCGTGGAAAGTACGAGCCCCCGGCACGGCTAAATCTAAAAAGATCTTGCCAAAAGTTTTATGATTTACAAAGCATGCGATTTCGCACTAACTTATCCATGATGATCTCTGAATGAGTCAACGCTCATATTTTTAAAGCTTGTAGTTTCCTTTCACTATGAGAATTAGAATTCAAACAAATCCTTGACTGGCTTCTTCTACCAAGACTGAATTAACGTACCCGATTTTTGCCAGTTCTTCAGCTCTGGTAGTACACTGTCATAATGGACAGGTTCAGATTGCCCAAATCTGATTTGATCATTTGAGCTTGTCAGTTTGACAGCAGGCAACAGGATATTCCAAGTGTTAGTAGTGAAAAAATTATATTCATACGTAGTGACGTTGCAAGTGTGAGAAGGCCCACTTTCACCCTAGGTATGCAATTTACTATTTCTCAACAACGTTACAACAATTATAGCTCTTGGTCCAGAAAGCAGAGTTAGTTGAACTGCTTAACACTTCTCTAAACAATACATTTATTAGTGAAAAGAAACATTTTTGAAAAAAATTAAATAGCTAATTCGCAATGTAAAATTATTACAAACAAGGAAGTCAAGCTCGCCCAATGGATTATCTCATATACAAATAATTAGCCATTACGAAATAAATATGCTTGCTCTACATACATATATCAGTGCAATGCAATTATTGGACAATGAAATAAACGTAATTCACTGAAAATACCTTTCAGTTCTGAAATAACGCACACACAATTTGGCATGTATTAAATCCATAATATATTTTTCATTCTAAACTTCTCATATAAATAGAGTACGACTACATTGAAGGTAAAAGTCTTAATTCGAAATGAATCGACTATGATCTAAAAAATATTGTTAGAAATAAATGAAAGATAAGATAATGTGGATCCATCCTAATAAATCTCACAAGTTTTGCTGGCCGCCAAATGAAACCGCAGATAAATATAAAATATATTGTCTTTTTGAGTTATACCTTGAAGAATGTCTCCGACATATATGTTGGTTCATTTAGCGGCCTACAAAGCATGGAGATTAAAAAATTAAATAGGTTGCTGAAAATTGAAATTGGGGAGAACTGTGTCATGTACAAAATTGCTGCCAATTTTATTTTAATTTGGTGCAAAGACCTTATAGACTAGCACCAGTATTTGCTTATAATTATATTGAACCTGTTTTATAGGAAATCACCTAAAATAGCCAAATAAAATTAGAGCGCTATCCTTAAATTCGCGTATGCTCATGGGCCACGAGAATTGTCCGTATTTATGAGTTGCTAGGCTATGATTTCAACAATCGGCACCCACGTTATATTACAGTTAATTATGTTTATTTTTATCTCCACAAGGCTAAACTAAACTAAGTTTTTAATTATCATATAGCAGGTCGTAGTTAAAAATTTTTTTGTAACTTAGTCGTTCTAATATTCTAGTGCCGTGTTGGACCTGCCTGATACAGACGTATTGTCAAATGTTTCAGTCTGCTTTGGCATAGGTTTTGGTTACCCCTGCACACTGGTCGAAACATCTTTGGTTCGAAACAACTTTTTTGTACACCATCTTTTCTTTTAATTGGACAGTCACAAACTAGCGTTAGTAATTTACTATTCCACATTGTGGTTGTTCTTTAACAGGGTTGCCTGTTTCAACCACGATCTGGTCGCCAGGCGGGATAAGCCAAAATCGCTAAAAAAGCCAACTATTTTATTTCTATCGACATATTTGTGGCTTCAACAAGATTATATGCGAACTCACGAGTGAGCAGTAGAATTCTTTACAATGACTGCTTTTGGATTTAAAGTAAAGGCCTAAATATATAATATTGGACTGCCAGATGACTCAAAATTGTTAAATCAAATCATCAAGGTCTGTTGTACCTTCAAATTACTTGGGTAAAGAACTATCCTGATTATCACCGTCTTTTACAGATTTGTTGAATCATCAAATTGATGGAAAAATATCAAAAGTTCTAATATACATACAGCGGATTATTTTATGTGTGAACATCAAAATATGAAGAAAGCCTCCTATTACCCATATTCAACGACGAAAGCTTTTTGATACTGAACTGGCAAGGTCCTACTTTCTTAGTTCAAATACAAGCCTGCAAACGTAGTTTTGTGATCTTATGGTTCTAGTCTTATCCTGTAAATTTAAACAAGGTCCGGAAATAATATCACCATAGTTTAATTGAGGCATAACTAAAGATTCGCAAAGATTAATTTTTAACTTGAAATTTAGTGATGATTTTTTCATATAAAGCAATTTAAGTAAAAAATATGCTATTTTTGATTTGTTGGTCACATGTACATGTACAGAGGGCAGAATACTAAATTCTATGTTTAGTTTCATCATATTATTTATCGGTTGTACTGACTTTGAATTGCCAAGCACTAGAATTGCAGATCTCCTAGGATTAAGCTGTAAGTTGTTTATTCATGATTTTATACGTAATGCTTTCAAATCAAAACTAATTTTGTCCTGGATTTCTGTAATTTCTTCTGCATCGATAGAATAGGTGAGCTGAGTGTTTATAGGAGTGAATTTAGAATGTCTGTAGTATAAATAATATACAGCAAAGGCCCCATGACCGAACCTTGCGGAACACCAGCTTTAACAGTAACTTCATCAGACAGGATTTCATTTACAAACACTCTTCGATTTCGGTCCAATAAATAATTTTCCATCAGCTGTAAGGGAGCAAAACCCACAATAATTTCATTCAGCCAGTAACGTAATTATAACGTGTAATGATTAAAGATGTCAAAGGCTTTAGAATAATCGAGTGGAACAAGTCCCAAAATTGTGTCATTGTATCGACAACATCTGCAAGCTCAGATACTGCATCTTTCAATGAAATTCACGAAATCCTGACTGGTATAGTAGGTTAAATGTTGTTGGTTTCGAAATATGCCACAATCTTTTTGTACAAATTTTTTCCCATAATCTTAGACAGTACTGATAGCATATTAAAGGCCGCAAGTCAGCAAATTGTGAGCGATTGATTATTTTTGGTATTGGATTAATGACGGAACATTTCCAAGATGATTGAAAATAGATTGCTGATAAATATCACAGCAATTAATCTATTCCACAATTTTCATCGAAGAACACGATCAAACAGATTGTATTATAGCCCCGCCGGTGAAAAGAAAACAAAACAACATGGTGGGAAAACACAATCAGTTCTATCCACGTGCCTAAGTCACTAGAATCTCTCGAGACACTTTTTCTCAAAACATAATTGAGATGGTTGATGTCGAAACGTTGCAAAGCGTTTCGCGACACCTCGACCTAATGGCGATGTGCGGTACCACCAAATGAATATATTTACGCTTCGTCTGCACCCTGTGAAAGGTTTCGCAGCGTTGCGAAACGAAATGTGCGTGCCTTTAAGACCACGGCGCTCACTTAGTGATTCATAAATAAGTATAGTCATTTGCAACGCTCTCGACCAATGGAAAAATGGAAAAATGATTGTATTGGCTATACAGTTTCTTGCTTGGCGGTCAAAATGACTAATATCCATATTTTTATTTCAGACCTGTTTCCGCATATGCGTTGTTCTTTCGAGACACCCAAGCTGCCATCAAAGGACAAAATCCAAATGCCAGTTTCGGTGAAGTTTCCAAAATTGTCGCGTCCATGTGGGATGCGTTAGATTCAGAACACAAAAATGTAAGTATAAGTTCATATTACAGAAAAATCCTATTTAACAAAACATGGAATTTTATTATTTGTCATCGTACGCAATCGAAAGATTCTGTCATTTTGTTATTTGGATCTCGAAATAGTGTCATTCAACAGACAATCGTAATTAATACATGGTGATTCAAAGAACAATGACAATCAAATAACAAAAAGTTGCTACAAGCTTAGATCTTAAAGAGTTCCATTACAAAATATGAACATTGCCCAATACCGGCATGGTGAGATAAAAGTTATTAATAATTACTAGATAGAATAGGTTTAATTTTTGCGAGGTTTTTACTTCAAATATTCAATACAATTTCTCTGCAAAAGGAATGGTCCGACAAACAATACCCAAGTAAAAAAATACATGGCGAATCAAATACCGTATCTGAAAATAGATAGATGTTTAAAAGTCAGTGGCATAGAAAGGTTTCTTTTTCATTCTGTTGTGGTCAGAATACCTCAGTGTGTAAGCCATTGGCGTAGTCGCTACCTGTTACCACTCTGAGATATGTTTTCTTGCTTTTTGAATTTCAACTTCATCATCTTGTACACATAAATAGGAACTATGGAACTATTCATGTTATTTTTTTACCTTCTTTCTGCAGATATTGCCACTGATTTCTGAATCGCCCTATATTTGTCAGTGATGTCTCAAAGCATAGTTAACTAGAAATTAATAGATTTGTAAAAGTCTGTTTATTTTAAAGGTATACAAGAAAAAAACGGAAGCAGCTAAAAAGGAATACTTGAAGGCTTTGGCGGCATACAGAGCAAGTTTGGTATCAAAGGGGGCCGGAGAAGGAGAGGGAATGTATGGAAACTACAGCCAGTATCAAGCAGGTGCACCACAGTATGCCTCATACCAACCTCAAGGTAAGAAAATGACGGACATTTTTTCATCTTTCTACATTTAAAAATACTCTGGGCCTCAATATTTTGAACGTTTCTGCTGATGTCCTAGTATTACAAGCCACCAATATGCTGCTTTTCTAGATATGACCCTGAATACTTGCAGTTCTGAATCCTTTGGAGTTTTGCAATTCCGCACCCACTTTTTCGATAAAATCACATTTTGCCCCAGTCGGATACGAAGGGATCATATTTCGGCTAAATACGTGCCATGCCATATGAGGAGGAAGTTTTGTAATTGCGGAAAATTTCGAAAGATGAATATTGTTTTTTTATTTGTTACATTACAAGTACATCACGAACCAGCATGCCACTCATTTCCGTGGTTCTATCTGTCTATCTCTCAGTCTGTTTGTGTCCCTGCCCAGTAATCTTTGATTCCTCTTGTAACATGAAAAGTAGTGTTCGCCAATGACGACAACGCTTGTAGGTTTTAAGAATCGATGGATTGCCACTTGGCGGTACAGCTACGGAGAAACAACAGTACTAAAATCAATCAAATTTCATTTTATGACATTTTAGAGATGCCTGCTTATTTTCAGCAATTGTTTTGAGAAATTTACAGAGGTGGAGGGGGGGGGGGTGTAACATTATTATTATTAAGAACGTTGTACATTTCCTCACGCAAATTATCTATCACGACATTTTTGCTTTAGGTACAATACCGTCACCTCCGATGTCTTCTGCCCAAACGCCACCCAGCCAGAGCCCGATCGGCAAGAAACCACCCATGATGGGCATGCCGCCCACCTCCCAACAAAGCATGATGCAAACCAACATGGGACAGGTTCCCGGACACATGAGCATGCAACAACACCTGCAGCAGCAACAACAACAGCACAATACCTACATGCAACAGGTCAGTATTCAATAAATAACTTATTATTATTTTCCAGGTTGATGCCAATCTTCGATTATGTCACTTGATCTCGTCGTGCTGTCCGTAGCCTTTTTCAGGAACTAATTTTAATATAGTAATAAAAGGATATTGAAATTTGGGGATGTAGCTCTAATATTTTTCGAAATCGGTGCATTGGCGACAAAGCAGAAAAACGTAAAATGTTGAAACACTGTCCAAGTACGTATTCTGATTTCTGTATTTTCCATGATTCATGATCAAAAGGATGTATTTAGACAATTTTTGTGATTCTTGGTAATCAACTCGATAATTAATGTGGTTTCACGTATTTGTTTTGCAGTTCAATACATGACTTAAAAGGTTGGTGCGTAAGAAGTACCAAGTTAATCTACTTGACATTTAATTTATTTTCTGCGCGAGTTCACATAAGAAGTACTATTTCCAGGAAAAATACACTACTACTCTTATCTATAGTAGTATAAGGAGTATGAAGTGCTTTTCAGAAAGCCCCTGTCCCTACTTATTTTTTTTTAAAGGTCGAGCTAGCAAACTAAAAGTTGAAATTCTGAACTATGAAACTGGCGTGAATAATATATTTTAACGTGAAAATGAGTACCTTATAACCCTAGAATATAAAATTACTATCTTTCAAAATGGCGCGCTGGAAAGCTGTCGAAGTTGATCGTTTTTGAATAATGAATCACTTATAACTCAACAGCTATAGTTGTAGTCACCGTTCTTGGCGATTACGTCATCAACGCCATATGAACACATCGAGTCTCCGTACCATGGACAGAACACTGCGCATACTAATCTTCAGCGCATTTGCTACTCTCTCCAGTACGCATGAAATGGGTAACAGGGGACCCCTGTTTCCATTCTCTTCCTGGAAATAAATTTAGCACAAGCTGTCGGTCTTCTCCATTGATCGTATTTCCGGGTATTGTACAATTTTATATTGAAGATTGATAACAGGACAATTCGAATTACACGCCGAAGTCAAGTAAGTTGTCGCTCTGACAAATATGATTGAAGGGCACTCATACGTAACGACAAAGTTTTCGAGACGGAGACTCGCAACTAAAAAACGTATTTCTTTGAGCTTACCGAACAAACGTTCACACACAGGGGTAGGTTGCATGTCTATGTATGAGGGAGATAGCGATATATAAAGGGATACTGTTAGTCTTATTTTGACCCGCCAAGAACGGTGACGACAACTATAATCGTCGAAACGTAGTAGTATGTTATATAAATCTTCTTCATGGGTCTATCTGACTTTGCAAAAAAAATATGAGGCATTCAGTTTAAAAAATTTACAGATTTTTATATTTTTTTTTTTAAACGGAATGTTTCATATTGTATCACATATTCGGATAGAATCTTCAAAGAAAAATTAGATTGACGTAACATTCCAGGATTATAAATCGACCGGTTCAAAAAAATGACCTCAGGGTATTTCAAATGTTGACAAAGCAACAAAACATTTTTCTGGCCGTTTTACTAAAAAATAAAATATATACCCATATAATAAGATACATAAAGTTTGAAATAGGAGTGAATACACGTCTTAACGTATCACACTGTATAGGTCATAAAGATTATTAGACTTTTTAAAATCGATTTTGACGAACAACTGGCTCATTATGATAACCACGCCATCATAGACGCAATATTTATCATCACGTTAACGTTTCTAACTCGGACTATGTATATTTCACTATGTTACCTCCAAGTCGCTGGTCGACCTGCTTGTCGACATTTTTGTAACCGCATAATTTCAGTTAACGTTACATAAATAAACTATGATGCAGGTTAAAAAGATATATAATGTGATCACTCACTAAGTTTTTATTCTTCAAATCAGACTATTGGCAATTAACTGATTGATGAGCAAAGAATGCCATACTTTTGTAATGTTCAATATTAATGGGCATAGTAAAAGATTCAGTGAATGTTCATTAAAGTTTTCTAAAAGTAGTCATGCTTTTCGAACCTTTGTAGTACACACACCCCTGAGCAAAAGAATGAATACCTGGTATACTTTAAAATTTATCAAACTGCTTACTACAATGGCAGTGTAGGTAGATTTTTACATGACTCAAGTTTTTTCTAGGTTGGACAACAACAACAGCACATGCCACCATCTCCCCAACAACAGCAGCAGCAACACCAAGCTGCTCAACAGCAACAGCACCGCATGTCTCCGCACGCAGCTGCTGGTCATATGCAACCACCTCAACAACCCCAACAACAAGGAGGCAACCCACAACCACCTAGGTAAATATCCGACATTTTTCTCGTAATTATATTCGATATATTATTGTCAAACGCATATTAATGGAAACTTTTGTGCAAAAAAGGTTACTGTCACATGTTTAGTTTGGCACCATCCTGTTAGCAGTCATTTGAAAATATGTATTATTAGTATATGTGTAAGTCAGCGCTTGGTATCGCTATAGTAAGCGGACTCTCATTTGATTACCTGTAAAGTAACCTAGCGGAAAAAAATCACTTTAGTTCCCTTCGCTTCGCCTCAGTGGGTGTGCAACTTAACACTCGATTTCCAAAAGTAACGTGTGTCAAGTTTGCGTTACTTGTATTAGCTTGTGACGCCATGAAATCCATCTGTTAGCAACAGTCAGAATCAAATAAACAGCGCCATCAATTGCCAACCACCGATATAAATGCAGTTATTGAAGACGCAATCAATCAGGCATGCTTTGAACTGGTAGAGTGTTTATCCCATCCGTTAGTTCTGGTCCATACTAATTTCATATTTCAAAATTAACAACATTTAAGAGAAAAGAAATTTCAAATTTCTAAGTATTCAACAGGTGATATTTGCATTGGAGGAATATGTCAGTAGTCGTACAAAAGAATGCTAATATGTAGTATTGAATATAAAAATAAAACAAAAAATTAAGTGTAGCTTTATTGCAAGAGGGTCAAGGATCTAACATAGAGATCAATCCTCTTACATAATTTGCAACTTTTTCTACAATCTCAAAACTTTTGGCGAGAGTAGTGCCTGAGGAGTAATAAATTAGTTTTCTCTCTCTCTCTCTCTCTCTCTCTTCTCTCTCTCTCTCTCGACTACATTGTTCATGCTCGCCCGGCGGGCCATCGGCGATCTACCACTATGCCAATGGGCGTTGCTCCTCACGGCTTTCCTCCATGATGCCAGCTCGCGATGTGACTGCCACACAGACCCGTCTGACTTCGACCTCCCATCCTAACCGTGTCCAACTTCGTACATTCAGAACTGACCGATACGACCTCTCCTTTATCCCTAAGATGTTGAGATTGTGGAACAATCCCAGTTCTACTAACCTTAAGCAGTTCAAAAATCGGATTAACAGCTTCGGTGTAAAAAAAAGTCTAAATTCTTTTTTTTTTTCAGGCAACACCCAACCCCACCTCCAATGGTATCCAGCGCATCCCCACCACTGTCCGGAGGTAGTAACGGCGGCGGTGGAGGCGGTCAACAGCAGCAGGCACAACAACAGTCTAACCAGGGGCAGCAGAGGCCAGGGGCATGCATCAGGCACGGCTGCCCGAACCCTGCCGTCACTAATCCAGAATGGGAGGACGAATATTGCAGTAACGAGTGTGTTGTCAGCCATTGCAGGTGAGACTTGTTTGGCCAGTTTTCAGCAACTGTTTTACCACCAATATCAGTTTCACCACACAACGATTTGCGCATTGATATCCTTAGAATTATCTGGGTGCTAATATTGGATTAGCGATGCTAATAGGAACTATCAACGCTGCGTGATATATAAGGTATCCATTTAAATCGTACCACCGAAATATATCGTATATGTATTTATAATACTTGTACTAATTTATGAGAATTTATAACCAACACTGAACTACGACTCCGCGTGCTGCGGTGAATCGTCGCGTGCTGTCGACTATACCGTCTCGACTGTCTTTATATTTTGAAATGAGCGAATCAAGAAGCTTTCCAGTGCATTTTTCGAAGTTCCAGACTGCAAACGATTTTGAACGTAACTGACGCTCCTTTACGAGGCAACAATTGCTCACCGCAGCCGCGTAAGTCTGGTTATTTTGACAAGTTATTTCCAAGTGCATTCTCAATAAATAAGTGGGAATATAACCACGAACTGTTTTTTATTTGAGAGTATTCCTTCATGTAAATTTCGAAAATCCACATCTCACTCCTGTCTGTCAGTTTGTTGTCTGACTGATGACAAACCGTTGCCTCTCTATAACACGGAAACTATCCGGCCGTTTTGGTCAAACTTTGGAACACGAAGGACGAAAAAACTGTATGTTGTAAATCTATCGACTGACGTTGAAGTTATAAACAAATAAGTCCAAGATTGCTAATAATTTTTGGGAAGCCAGTGGTGCTGTTGACTCACTGTTTTCGATCCATCTCATCTTTACTCACTTTTTATTAAAAATATTCACTTTTCTCACTATTTTCGCTTTCGCTGTACATATTGTAGTTTGTGAACATTTTCGAAGGAGCTGTCCTCTACCCCGCGAAATTAAATCAAGAGAATTTTTTTTTAAAACTTAACTATGTCAAAGTTACTCTCTGTTGTTTCTTTGGGACTTAAAGGCCGTGGGTTGGAGTTTACATTTCCAAAGCTTTCGGCTACAACTGCGGTAGCCATCTTCAGTGGCGCTGCAATCGGGGTCCAAGCGTTCGCTGCGGTGAGTCGTTGGCGACTGATGACTCTGGTGGTGCCTGCGTATTTATCTGTTCTCGGTGGACTTGGAACTGAACGGTAGGATTTACAATATTTTGGTCTGCTTTAGGATTGGGTTTTGTTCGAGTCTTCTGTAATATGGTATGTCAAGTTTTGTTAAGAGATATTCCTTCGTCTTTTCGGTTTAAATTGTTGAAATGTTGTTGTAATGACAACTTTAGTCTTACGGTCTGATGATTAAATATCCAGCTATACGCCAAAAAATACTAATATATAAAATAATAACTATATCAAATTAAACTTTTTAACATTAGATAGTTCTCTAAAATGTAGGTGGAATCAATTGAACAAGAATATTTAATAGATATAAGTAGGCTGCAGCGGTGGCGTAGTGGTAGACGTTATGGGTCTACTAATCAGTGGCCGTGCGCTGCGCGGGTTCGAATCACGTCCCAAAAGATTTTTTCTCTTGGCTATGGATGTTGTGACTGTCCGTAGGTGGTAGACGGTCTCTGACTGTCGAACGCGGAGGTACCACCCGGCGGATCTCGCAGGTGGGGCCAGAATGTGTGCACGTTCCATGCACACGGATTCCCTCGCCGGGGTCCGTGTGGCATCACCCCCCCCCCCCTTTTCCGTATAGCCCCACGGTACCCCATGGGTGTTTAGGCCTTCGTGGTGGTTGGAGTATAAAAACAGTATGCCTACCGTATTTAGAAGAAATTGTTATATTTTTATGTTTCTTTTATGCATCGTATGCATTTAATCTTAAAATATGCATACATATAAATAATTATTGTTGCTTTCATCAATAAAACAGTAACACAGATCTTATAAGAGTTAGTCTCGTTTTTTTTCACACAGACTTATTTATATTATCCATTTAAATTTGACATTATGATTCATTCATCAAAAAATTAACACACTTTTTTATGTATAATCTCACTATTTGTCACTATTTTTTTGAAATTCTCACTTTTCTCACTTAAATTCATGCCGCCAGCACCCCTGGATAGCTGAAAAATTGTTTTCGGAAAAGTCGAAGAGATTTATTTTGTTCTTTCATCTTCTCATAACATCGCACGTAATAAAGTATAGGGTTTAATCATTAACGATACTTAGAATTTGCGTATGTACATAATTCTATAACAGATTTATATGAATACGTGATAAGTCATAAGGCAACTAACACCTCTTTTTTTTCAGAGACGTCTTTACAAATTGGGTATCGAACAACAAGAACCAATCACAGAACTTTTCGACGGTAAAATAAACGGTGCTGCGGCGATATAGATGGCGCTGCATCATGAATCCGGCGTCGTCGGTGCGTGTAAGAAAGAGATAGCAATACCCGATCAGGAAACACGGACAGCTGCTTTTTCCCAGTTCCAGCGCGATTTTCGAATGTCGCTAATTGGCAACGTCGCACGTGTTATAGTGAGAGGATAGATTTAATAAACAGGTGTACATAAAATGATAATCATTTAGTAAGTGAGGTTGTATTGGAGTTATAGAAGCAATACGATTTCAACATAGGAGATGAGGTATACAATATACTGAATAGTATTGTAATCCTAGCATATATACACACAAACATTGTATATTTAATTATGAGGTAGCCCAAAATGATGTGCGCCATCTGTCGGATTTTATAGGTACATTGTGTGTCATCTCGTAGGATCTTTCTAGGGTTAACGCAATGCTTGTCCCATCTATAGATAGTATATCTAGTTACTTGATGGTTGAAACAGGGCAATGTAAGCAAAAATGCTTTAACATGTGTGAAAAAATCCATGGATTTAAAAGAAAAAATAAGCACCAAATATTGATCAGCTAACAGTTACTGATAATCACAATTTGAAGGTGCTAACGTGAAGTTTACCCTTTTATATCTCACATCAACCATATTTTTTGATGGCATAATATGAGTGGTGCTAATTTTGCCATAATCAAAGTATTTGTTAAAACAGATTCAAAATACAGAATACCTCTATCGCCCTTTTAACAAATTTTGTAAGTTTCAAATGTTCTTCTGATGGTTATACCTTAAAACCTCTTATTTATAACCTTAGTAGGATCCTGCTCTCTTCATGAAAATCAAAATGAGCAAATGATCTCAAACCATACCTTTTACTTGAAGTAATTAAGAGTAGATTATCGTTGTGATATAATCTTATAATACGTAAAATCCTGCAATGCCACACCCTTTTTAGTACAATCAATGGACAATTTACCAGAAAAGCATCTTGGTTCTATGCCTTTTGAATAATGTATAAGGTAACAACATTCAAGGTAACAATAAAAAGTTCCTAATTATTCCTCTATGTAAAGTTGCAATTCTTGCGACCCATTTTACTAAGCCAGGACGCAAAATGCGCGCGGGTCACAAATTCAGCCAATCAGAAGCTGTATTTGAAGTAACGAATATGGCCGTTTTGTAAAATGTATCTCAAACTAGAGAGAATAATTGTAGTGTGTGTGCAAGACGGGTCCCTAATTCCCATATTAAATCATAGGCCACAAGTCCTTTCTCTGATTCGTCGAATTTGCGGCTATGCAAATCCTTCTTTTTGATTGATGGAGTTTACGTCAACTTTTGTGACCGGAGACAAATGAAAAATAGTGTTTTGTAACTGAATCATGTGATATATGAAATATTTCTTGATTTAATATGAGAATTAGGAGCCCATCTTACACAGAATATACTTTTTCTCTAGTTTGAGAGACATCTTCAAAGATGCTTTCTCATTGGACCAATTTGTGCAAATGAGCAAATTTTGAATACCAAAGTCAGGCTTTAGCATCCCTTTGAAAACTACACATAAAATGATGTTCATTTTGAGGAAAAATTAATTTTAAACCTTACGGTTTTGGAAAATATTGTATTTTCGTTGATTGTACTATATTTTTGTAGAATTAAGACATGAGGAAAGACTGTTTTGGTCTACCTCGTGAGATTTGTTAAACTTCTCTTGTGCTATGTAAAACGCATGTGTATCCATGATTAAAGTTTGTAGTTAGACATATGTCCAAAGTACATAAACATTAAAATATATATTTAGTTTGTAGTTAGACTTTGTTGTTACATGAAGATATGCAAACATGTTTTTAGTAGTTACAAAGAAGTGAACTCTAATTTGAAATAGCATTATTTATAGGCATAAAATATATTTCAAAATGTTTTTCTTTCAAAAAGTTTATTTTTCCATGCTTCTATTTCACAGCATTTCTAATAATTTATATTGGAGAAAACCTAAAATATACCATTTATCATATATAGTATTTATTCAGATCTGATGACAAGTGGCCTATAAATATTGTTATATCTAAATTTCTTTCTTTGTGTTAGATCAAAATATTTATCAGTCCATTCGTGATGTTGTAGTACTGATATTTCCTTTACTTAATTTGAATCTGTTACACAAGTAACCAGCTTAAAAACAGTAGAAAGAGGTGCTTGGAGATATTTGTATGTGGATATTGAAGAATACATTTGGATAAATGTAGAAGAGGAATATCCACCATAATCTTATATATCTATTTAGCTATGGTGAAGTGTTGATAATACAACCACTGGCATTTTTTGCACTAGAAAGCTGGAAAAAATGTTCATTAAGAATGGTAGCCTGTGTCTTTGATATCCCTTTTGCGACTGTGCTTTTTAGCCTAGCTTCATTTTGCTCTATATTCCCATATATTTCACAATTCAATTTCAAGTTGGGAAAGTTGTGGACAGATTCAAAGTGGTAGTATACAAGTAGCGTACATACTCTCGGTTATTTTTTATATCATTGACCAATCACAGTTACGCTTTTTCATCGTTGTATATAAACTAGCAGTTGTTACTTTATTGTTATGTATTGATGTGAACAATCCGATTTTTAGACTTGTCAGTGGATATGGGGGCAGCTCGTGAACTGAACAACGGAAATTTTGAAGTGTAAAACTTGAATAATCACATGCGTTTTCAAGGTAATTAAAATCAATTTAACTTACTTTTCTATGAATCCGATTCTCATTTTCTAATGCTTATGATAGTAGACACATAATTGATTTTACCTACTTGTTTACTGGTTATTCGACTTAATTAATTTCAAAGATACCACAGGCAGCTTCTAAGCTATTGTCAGGTACATATTTTTTAAAAATCATGATAATTTTCTCATTATCGCAGCTGCAGGGCATGACGGCGTAATGTGTGCAATTTTGAAGCAGAAAAGTTATTCAAATATCATGTTTATTTTAAAGGGATTGATTGGATTCTCCACTGATCGGTCTATTTTTCCATCTCTAGGTATCTTAATACGCCATGGTGAAGGATGTATATTTGTGAATATGTTGAACGAAACTGCGTCTGATTAGATACAAACTGTTTGAAATGGTGCAATCTTTAGAATACGAGTTTCACACGTGTTAGTTTTCATCGTTTTTATATTTTTGGTACAGCTGTACTGTTTACGTCTAGTATTATACGTATCTAAACTGTTTGAAACAGTTTGGTCTGTAAGAATTGTATAAATTTAAACTCTAGATGAATACAATATTGATAAACATATTTTTTGTGAAATTTTTCGTTTTTTATTGTTTTGAAATGTATTTTATTTTTAATTCTGTTCTTTTTTTACTGTTTGGAACCAAGCAATGTAACCAAACAATCATGTTTATAAAAAGTATTGAAACTAAAATATCGAAAATTATATTGAATCATTATCTCTTTACGAGCTTTAAAAATTACTAAGTACAATTTATGTTCCACTATTACATTGTAAATATCATACTTTATTCTGACAAGCACGCAACCTATACTATGTAATCAATTAATATCTAAAAATAAATAGAATTTACCCAAACAGAATTCGTTTTACTTCTACATCCACCTGACGGAAATTGAGAATTTTTGTGCAGCCCTTGGGTATTTTACTTCCCATCCAAATGAAGACTACCAATAAAAGGGAAAAGGTATGTGTTACGCGTATTCTTTTTGCATTATGGTATCTACGAAACTGGAGCAATCATTTTTATAAAATTATGGTGTAGAGATAAAGTAAAGTAATGTTGCTGTTTGAAAATTTAGGCTGGCTGCTGTGTACAAAATTGAACATGATTTTAAATTCAATGAAGGGCCATGTGACTTTATAACCGTGGAGTATAAAGGATCAGTCTATTACCGGGGATTTCGACCCTGAAAACAACTCAAATTTCAATTTGATCGTGTCTATGAAATTTGAGCATTTAAATAATTTAAAACATAGATATTTTAATCTGTTACCAACAGTTTCTTCTTAATTTAGCACTTGTTTTTACAATCCAAAAATGCCAAATTGGCTTTTTTGTCCAAAATTCAATAATTTCCGAGTATTTAAATTTATATTTTTATATGAGATAGAAAACCCTGAGATACAAAGCATATAAAAAAAGATGTTGCTTCACTGCGCTCACATTAGAAACAAGAGTTAAAACAAATCAATATACAATTATACTTTTTGTTTTTAAAGTGAGTGCAGTGGAGCAATACTTTATTTTTATACAAACATATAGTATGTTTTGTTTCTTAATGTGTTTTATTATAGACTTTAAGTAGTATAGTAGTACGAGTAGTATAGTGTGACCGTGCCCTCATATAAAAATACTTATATTAATATTCGAAAATGGGCGAATTTGGACAAAAATTGCCAAAATTGAGAACTGTGGGGTTTTAAAAAACTTCAACACAGTATTGCTCCTAAATAAAAAGTTACCAAAGAAAACTATTTATGGGTTATACATGGTGTCCGAGCTCACATTTCTAAAACACAATTATACAGGGTGTCCCAATATATACATATATATATATATATATATACAGGGTGGCCCATCCATGTGTGGACGGAATATTACTCTTAAACAAATACATTTTTGGAAAATTTTAGGGCACATTTCTAAAAAAAAGGCAATTTTGACCTACATATCAAAGATGTGATTTTTTTAATGGAATGCCTCAAATTGCATATTTGGATCAACCAGTTCAAAAGAAAAAGATTGATATAACATACTATGGGGTTTTGGTAATTAGCTACTGAGATGTAAGGTGTTTTGTCCAGAAAAACCGTCCACTTCGGCAAACTCTCAACCCGACATTTTGAAATTTGGAGTGCTGAATTTTGTATCAAAAAGAACTGACGTGCCTCAGCCTTTATCTTATGTGTTACTTTTTCGAATTTTCATTTTTTCTCATACAGGGTGGTCAAAAAATCAAATTGTACTTTTTCACAAAAATTTCAAATGCATCACCCTGTTTATTTGTGCAAGTTTGGATTCAATTTTTTATAAGCTTTTTTTGTATAAGGTTTGATTCAGATAAAATCACTAGATTTTGAGGTATTAAGCTTGTAATAGAACAACACACCAAAATTAAGGGAAAAAAATCACATCATCCATGGAAACAAAAGACAAATAGTGGGCTAGTTCCATATTGCCACTAGGAGAACAGATTTGACGTAAAAACTAATAACAATCAGAACAGTATAAATCAGGTTCAAGCGTAATAGAGAAAAACAACTATAATAACAACATAAACAAACAACTATCACTTAAGACCTAATCTACAAAAACTGCTCGAAAATATCTCCACCATGTTGAATACACAGCCGTAGTCTTTGGACAAATGACCGTTGCATATCCCTCAGTATGTGTTTGTTCCCTTATGTTAAGAAAAGCATCCTTTATATTTTCAGAGGTAGATGGTGGATATCTAAACCTCTTGCTTAACGTAGCCCAACAGAAAGAAGTACATCGGTGCCATATCTGGTGATCTAGCAGGCCAAGATATAGACCCATCACGACCGATCCAATGATTGTTACTCCAGGTGTACAAATAGTTACGCACACGATTATGATAATGCGCAGGTGCGCCGTCATGTTGGAAGTACATATGCATCCGAGTTTGCAGGTTGACATCCTCTAAAAGCAAAGGCAAATGCGCGATCAAAAAATTCAAGTATTCTGTACCTGTTAATCTGTTGTCGAAAAAGAAAGGCCCGATAACTTGTTTGCCAATAACTCCTCCCCAAACATTCAAGCTCCATTTATTTTCCAAATCTATTTGCCTAACCTAGTAAGGGTTTTCCGCCGCATAATAGTACATGCTATGCCTGTTGACAAAACCTATGCAGTTAAAAGTTGCCTCATCGCTAAAAAGAACCTTATCCAGGAAAGTAGTGTCTTCACTCACTTTATTTAGCATTAATCTACTAAACTCCATCCGAGCATCGAAACCCTGAGGGTGAAGGCCTTGATGCAAGCATAGGTGATATGGATGGTACCAATGCTTGTGAATAATCCTTTGGACAGAAGTTCTGCATAAATCAGTTTCTGCTCCAATTTGCCGTGCACTTAAATGGGGATTCTCCTGCAACTTCAATAGAACCTCCAACTGATTCGCCTCATTGGTGCCACTTGGATTATTTATACATTTTTTACTATATTCCACTGCTCCACTTGATTCAAAACGTTCTCGTAGTGTGGAAAATGTGTGTATCGTTGCTTATAAATGCTAGGAAACTATTTCTTTGGGCTTCAAAACGAACACCATGTTCACCATTTCTTCTTTAGAAAAATTCATTTTCAAACACGTTTTTATTATAATGCTCACAAACCTAATTTTGACAGTTTGTAGCTAATAAACAATTTATTTGTTTCCAATGATGATGCGATATTTCAGGGAATTAAGCCGATCCATAAAAGACGTGCTAATAACCGAAAAAATAGCCGTAAAAACCCTTATGTGTCTAGTATAAAAAAAAAACATAAATTAATACAAATTTGCACAAATATTTGGAATTTTTTCAGGGAATTAAGCCGATCCATAAAAGACGTGCTAATAACCGAGAAAATAGCCGTAAAAACCCTTATGTGTCTAGTATAAAAAAAAAAAACTTATAAATTAATACAAATTTGCACAAATATACAGGGTGATGCATTTGAAATTTTTGAGAAAAACTACAATTTCCGTTTTTGACCACCCTGTATGAGGAAAAATTAAAATTCGATAAAGTAACAAATAAGATAGAAGCTGAGGTGTGTAAGTTTTTTTTTGGTATAAAATTCAGCACTCCAAATTTCAAAATGGCGGACTGAGGGGTTGCCGAAGTGGGGGGTTTTTCTAGACTCTTCTAGACTTATATCTCAGTAGCTAATTAAAAAAACCCATAGTATGTTATATCAATTTTCTTTTTTGAATTGGTTTATCTAAATATGTAATAAAATTTGAAGCATTCCATCTGAAAATTCACAACTTTGATATGTAGGTCGAAATTGGGACACCCTGTATAATGGCCAATATTTTAGAAACCTAACCTAACCTCTTTGTAATTGCGATTGAACGTTCATTATCTCTTTAATTTCAAAATTTCACAAAATTGCAAATATCTCCTGAACTATAAAATCTCGGACCACACATATAGGGGTTCATTCGATAGGTTTTGAGACCCTCCTATCACCTGACTTCCGTTGATCCACTACTAACTTTACACCCTGTATATACAAACAAAATTTGAGAGAATGTCGTGCTTGTTATTACGTATTCGGATAGGCCCTTTTACAAGAAGAAGATTATGGCTTTTGATTATTAGTTCACTCTCAGAGGGGCGATTTCTAAATTAAGCACATGGTGAAGGAATAATTCCCTTTCCTTACAAGAACGATGTACTAGAAGTAGTCAAAGAAGACCCGAGTACTTCAGTACATCAAAAAGAAGCAAACACGGGCTTGTCCAAAAGCACATCCCACAGATTCCAGCCGTACCACATACAGCAAGCATAATCTCTACAACCCTGGGATTATCTTCCAAAGAAGACGGTTTTTTGAACAGTTGTTGTGAATTTAATAAATACATTAACGAATTAATAAGAGTGTTACTATATGACTATATGTCTTGCTGTCACTACGTAGAATGGCACTGACCGTCACTCTGTCCGAGAAAAAATTGAAATTTGTAGTAATGGGAACTAAAAGATCATCACAGGGTGTAGATTTTTCCGATTTTTTAAAGCCTATAATTTGATTTTTCGGAAAACTATTATGACTTGGCCGATTCCTCATTTCCGGTTTGACGTCGACTTCTGGCACACCCTGTATGTTCAATAACACTGTCAACTTAAACTTTCTTGATAGTAATTAGTCGATTGAAGGGGCACTTCTGTCTTGGTCGCGTGTAGCCATCTAATGTCGCTCCAGCGACGCAGAACAACACCTTTACAGATTTTTTCTTCCCATCTCTGCCATTAAAATTCCATTTTTCCACTGACCACACAATGCACAAGAGTTATGGAAAAGTAGTGTCATACGGAAATCTCGTGGTAACAGCTCGAACGAAAATGGGAATTCACAAGTGCAAGAAGATAAATTCCTTTGTTAACTTTTAGTGGGATACAAACCCCAGCAAACATGTTCAAGTAACAATATACGTAGTATCTTGCAAAAATAATTGAATCAATCTTGCTGCATATTGGTATGTTAAGAACGGAGTATCCATCCTCGAAAAAAATTAAAAAAATAAAGAGGTATTTAATAAAGTACTCATTATTGGAAAATAAAAGTTTACTAAAATTAAAAGTCACAAAATATAGTAAAACTCAGTACAGTACATACAAAATGTAATAAAAGAGTAATCCCAAATTAAAAGTCACTTTACATATCTGTACCCGCGAGGTAAACAGTCGTAAGTCACTTTTACCCAATATGGAGTCAATACTATTACTAAACTACGCTCTCTCAACTTGCTATTGTGGCAAAAAGTCACGAATCACTGGTTGCCTATATTTTTAGTTTTGAAAACATAGTATGTCCATTTATGAACTAGGTAAAGAAACGTATGT